GGTCTCGAACTCCTGAGCTCAAACAATCCGCCCGCCTCGGCCTCCCAGAGTGCTAGGATTACAGGCGTGAGCCACCGCGCCCAGCCTATACTTCTTTTTATTTATTTTTTTTTACCTTCCATTCCTTCTGTGTGGATAAAACATATATATTTCTTAAACTCAAAGACCATGGACATAAATTTAAATAAGCCAAGTTAATTTAACAGAGATTTATCGAAAAACTCAGTATATTCAAGATACTTTATAAAGTTGGGAGGCTACAAAGGTAAGCAAATTCCTGTTCTGGGTGTTCCCTGTTGAGTGGCAGAGGCCAACACACAACAGTGCAATGCACGAGTGCTATATTTGCATATATAGAGACATCTACAGTAGCATGGGGGAGCAGCTAATGCAGCCTAGGGACGTGAAGTCAGGGGACAAGAGCATGGGTGAGCTCAATGGAGTCTTGAAGGATGAGCACGTGAGGTGGCAAGGAGGATGGCAAAGTTAACGTGAGGCAGAGGGAACGTCGAGTATGAAAACAGGAAAGGAAGCAGTGAGGATAGGTGGAAAATACATTTATACGTAACGATGAAGAGGAGTAAAACTGCAGGGGGAGTGCAAGTTGGGATTTGAAACTTGTACCTTTATATACTTTCTGAATTGAGAGATAATGTGAGAATGAAATGAGTAGGGAAGGAGGAACGATGCTTGAGAAGTAGTTTTTAGAAGTAGAAGGAATTATTCTAAAAAGCAGAAGTCTACAAGTACTTTCTATTATTGAAAATTCGGCCCTTGAATTAACCTCTTGTTCATTCTGTCTTCCCCTTGACTATCTGGTGTGCAACCTGACTAATGCTGTATCCATCTGTCCCACTCTAATCTGCCTCCTTTCTTCAATTACTAAAGTTCTACCTATTTTTCAACAAGCAGGTCAAGTTCCACCTCTTCCAATGAAGCCTTCCCAAAAGGATCAATTCATCCCTACCTCCTCAGAAATCTTAACTATTGGAGAGCTAGGGAACGGGAGGAGAGAAGTTGTTAATCCTTAGAGCTGGGGACACAAATTCAAAAGCCCATAAAGGCCAGGTCACAAGGCTTGTTGTGGTACAAAACAAAATGTGAGGCCTGTGGTCAGAGGAAGAGTACAAATCCAGCCTACACATATAAAACAAAGACACAGACAGCTTTGGCTGGCTGTCACTTTGACTGTCTGAATGGATTTTTTCCCAATGCCTTACCAAAAAGTCCTTCTTATAGTAAACCTAAAAGGTGATTATCTAGCCTAGAGGTTCTCAACCAGGATTGATTCTGCCCCACA